AGATCTTCTCACAAGGTTTCCTCCATTCTCCTCTAGCTATCCTTGATGGTTTTGAGGTTCGCGGCTTTTCATCCCTTTCCCCTCTTAATCTTGTCCAATACCAAACTGTTTTTTTTTTCTTTTGACATTCCTCCTTATTCTGCCTTGCAGGTTGCATTTTGCTTGGCGTAGGACTAACTAGCTTGACACATTTCAGGATCCACTTCGAGATTGAAGAACACATTAATTCTTGGCTTGTATAACTCGATCGTACTTGGGTTGTAAAACTTGTATTGTGGTAGCTTGACACTGTAGTGTTGTTGTGTTCTAGCCGCTGGAACTTATGTCCACTTTTTTTCTGCTAAAGACAGATTGTAACTTCTGTTTAGTATATATATATATATATATATGCTGCTTGGTTGGTGGAATTCTTTGCTTGAGATCTTTTCACAGGTTGGGCACCCCTTTGAAACAAGGTAGATGCCGCCAAAATTTTTTTACGATCCCCTTTTCGACACCCCTCCTTTTTAGAAGGTTCTTGGATTTTATGAGCATGCTAGTTTCTTTTTTGCAAGTGTTTGGCTTGACGTATTTATCTTACTAAAGCATGAAACCTGTTAAGGACCTAGGATCCCATACAAATAGCTTTGCTTGGCATGTCTTCTGCTAAATAACATTTTTTTTTCTTTAAAATATTTACCATAGATATATACGTATATAAAAATTTGAAAAAGGCAAACTTCCAGAGAGTTTTTTTTTTTTTCCCAAAACACTCCTTCATTTTCATTTCAAATCTCATGTAGAAGGAGACCATATAAAAAGAAATGCGATAATCATAAAAACATGATACTATGCCTACTTAGCAGTAGTAGGGCTTGAGCCACTTTCCATTGATGGGATCCGTTAACATGCCTTCCTTGACAGAGATCAAGCGATAATAGCCGCTATTGTGTACCTCTTTGACTGCAAATGGACCCTCCTATTGTGGAGCAAACTTGGAAGGCCCCGATACTTGTCTTCTCACATGCTCGACAACTTTTAGCATGAGAACTCCTTGCTTGAAGGCTTGAGGCTTAACGATCCTGTTATATGCTTGGGCAACAGTCTTGTGGTAGAGTGCCATTTTTCTTTCAGCTTCCATTCTTTTTTCATCCACTGCTTCGAGATATAACAAATGCCAATCTGAGCATGACTTCGCATCTAATTCAAGGTCATTGACAATCGATACTCTGGCAGTGGGAATAGTGATTTCCACAGGTGAAATAGCGTCGGACTCATACATAAGTGAATAAGGTGAAAAACCTGTAGCGCTTCTTGGTGAGGTGCGGTAAACCCACAAAGCATCCGGCAGGTGAATGCTCCAATCGTCCTCATACTCATATACCATCTTGCTCAAAATCCTCAGTATTGTTTTATTGGTAGCCTCCGCTTCACCATTTCCCTGTGGGTAATAGGGTGTTGAGCGGAGATGCTTGATACCATAACCACTAAGTGTTGAGCTCACTTGCTTGTTAACAAAGGGCGTGCCATAGTCAGTAACCATTTTGTATGGGATTCCAAACCTGCACACAATGTATTCTTGAATGAAATTTGAGACATCAGCTCTTGTGGCCTTTCAAAGAAGAATTGCCTCGACCTACTTCGTGAAATATTCCGTAGCAGTAAGAATCCATATATAACCGTTAGAAGGAGGATGAATTGTCCTAATTAAATCAAGCCCCCAAAGTGTGAAAAGGCCAAGGAGTGTGCATGTCTTGTAATAATGTAGGAGGTTTGTGACTTAAATTAGCATGGATTTGGCATGTGTGTCATCTCCTGACAAAGTCATGTGCATCCTTCTTCATGGTAGGCTAGTAATATCCAAAATTCAGCAGCTGCCGGTGAAGCTTTTTCATTCCTTGATGTTCTCCACACTCTCCAACATGTATTTCTTGCATGGCTTGATGTGCTTCTAACCTTCCTAAGCATCGTAGTGGTTCACCATTGAATCCTTTTCGGTAAAGAGTCGACCCATCCACATAATACCTTTTCATCGTCTTTTTAAGCTTATAAGTGAGCTTGGAATTGGCTGGCAGAGTCCCCTCAACAAAGAATGCTAAGAATGGAGCCCTCCAATCCTCCGCAAGTGAAATAGTGAAAGATTCCTTGGTAGAGGGTATCGTGGAACATCCAGGACAATTAGCCTGAACCTCAGCTGCTTGTTTCTTCATCTCTAGCCAATAATAACCTTTGCGTTGCAGGTGCCTGTACAAGCTGATTACTGGTTCCAAGCTGCAAATGGCATCGTGTACTTCTTGCAACCTCCTTCTTGCTTCCGTCACTCCTATGCACCGGGTCAAAACACCTCCTGGAAGACGTCTGTAGAGTTCCCCAAAGATAATCACATAATCTTTCAAGTCTTTAATGCTGCTCTCTTCACTTAATTTTTTCTTCAATGGCTTTCTCCAATCATCCTCTTCCAGCAGCTCCTCTTGGGTCATTGCTTCGACTACTAGTGTGCCCCTCCTTATCACGGTAATATTGGGCTGCTCTTGCACAAATGAGAGCTTTGATCCCAATATAGCCAAAGCATCATTGGTGACTCCCGGATTGTGCTCAATCACAATTTGCTTGAAAGAATTAATGAGTCTTTCAGCAGCTATCCGATATAGTGCCAAGGTTGCTTCCTTCACATCAAAGCTTCCTTGCAATTGACTTAGCACTAGATTTGAATCGCCAATGATCTTCATCCTTTCTACACCCATTTCTCTTGCCGTAGACAACCCCATAATGAAAGCTTCATACTCTGCCACATTGTTTGTGCATGGAAAATCTAGCTTGAATGAGAAAGTCGTAGGTTGCCCTTCGAGATTAATGAGTACTACACCTGCTCCTCCACCATTGGTTGTAGAGGAACCATCAAAGTAGAGTGTCCATGGTTCTCCTTCCATAGCAGTAGCAACAACTTCTGGCAGCTCTCCCAATACCTCTTTGGACAAGGCAGGTCCTTCTGTTTCTGGGAATAAGGCTAACATGTCAATCACAACCTGACCTTTGATAGCCTTTGGGGTCATACATGTGATCTCAAACTCAGATAGTTGTAGCAACCAGCATGCAAGATGTCCTGACAACACCAGTCTTATGAGCAAATACCTTACAGGATTAGATTTCACCATGAGTTGCAGCTTGTGAGCAAGAAAATAATGTCGCAACCATTGAGCAACATAGACAAAAGCAATACATAAGAGCTCCGTCTTTGGGTACCTTGCTTCAGCTCCTCGTAATTGTCTTGCCCATCATGACCATCTTGGGCAAGCAAAGCTCCAACTGCGGTGTTTGTTGCAGCCAAATAAAGCTTGAGTGGAAGTCCCAGAAAGGGTGCCCTCATTATGGGTAGCTTAGTGATCAACTGTTGTATTTGGCGATATGCTTCTTGGCATTCCTTGCTCCATATATAGGGTTTGCCCTTTTTAAGTAAAGGAGTGAAAGCACTCATCATGGCAGCAAGGCCTGGGATAAAACGTCGAATGTATGACAGTCTTCCCATGAATCTCTTCAATTCCTTTGAATTTTTAGGCGGTGCGAGAGAACATATGGCTTTGGTTTTCTCGAGATCCACATCTATGCCACGCTGGTGTACTTGAAAACCAAGGAACTTGCTGGATGAGACTTCGAATGCATATTTCTTTGAGTTCATCTTCAATCTGTAGAGCTGACACCTTTCCAGCACCATCCTTAGAACCTCCTGATGGCTTTCTCCATTTTTTGACTTCACTACCAAGTCATCCACATAGTCCTCGACTTCTCTTCCCATCATATCTTGAAACACTACTGTCATAGCCCTTTGGTAGGTGGCGCTAGCATTCTTAAGACCAAACGGCATGACCGTGTAATAAAAGTTCCCATATAGTGTTCGCAAGGCTGTCTTCTTAGCATCCTTGGGTGACATTTTGATCTGATTGTAGCCACTAAACCCATCCATAAAGGACAACATGCCTTGACCTGACGTTGAATCGATCAAGATATCCATGTTGGGCAGCGGGAATTCATCCTTTGGGCAAGCTCGGTTAAGGTCTTGGTAGTCCGTGCATATTCTAATTACTCCGGTCTTTTTTTTCACGAGAATGATATTTGCTAGCCACGTTGGGTGCTTGATTGGCTTCATGAATCCAGCAGCAAATAGTTTTTCGATTTCCACCTTGATTTGCTTTTCAATTTCATGATGAAAATTCCTTCTTAGCTGTACAACAGGTTTTGTACCAAGCTCAATATTCAGCGTGTGACTTACTGAATTTGGATTGATGCTGGGCATTTCTTCGTAGATCCAAGCGAACACATCTTGGAATTCCTTTAACAAAGATACCAAAACTTCTTTTTCTTCCTTATTAAGTGAACACTGATGAAGATGAGTCTTTGGACAGAGGGATCATCACTTAAATTGATTGTTTCCAACTGCTCAGCTACTGCTATTGAGCCATCTTACATGTGCTTGGGGTACTGTCATTGGCTTTTGGAAAGCACGGGGCAGAGGCACCTTGTCATCTGGACCCTTGCGGCTGTTTGCTTGCATTGCTTATCCTCCATACTCGTGGCTTTCCCGTAGGACACGGTTGAGCCCCCAATCCGGTCATAAGAGGTACACAGTGCGTCCATCAGGCAACGTTACTTTCAAGCATTGGGGATGATCGTAGGCATGATTATTGACCTCGAAGTGCTTCTTTCTTTCTTGGTCGACAATGGTGATGAGCACCTCGTTGCTTAGATCACGAATTTCAGTCCATGAAGGAAGGTAGGTCCTGAAATCCTTGGATGGGTTGCTTCCAGCACCCGTGCATTATGTATAAAATTCTGCCTCACAGTTGTGAGCTTCGTTTTTGTTGAATGGTGCTTGATTTCCAGATATACGTAGTGGCCTCAACCCAATCCTTCCCTTCACGCATTGATGATAAGTAGAGACCACAAGTTTATGCTTATTGAGCCATGGCCTTCCAAGCAAAGCATGATAAGCCACATCCACTCTAGGTCAAGGCTTGCTGTCATTCATGGATGGGTTTAGTGGCTACAATCAAATCAAGATGTCACCTAAAGATGTCGAGAAGACAACCTTTCGAATGCCGTATGAGAATTTTTATTACACGGTCATGCTGTTCCGTCTTAAGAATGCTGGCGCCACCTACCAAAAGGCCATGACGGCAGTGTTTCATGACATGATGGGAAAAGAAGTGGAAGACTATGTGGATGACCTTGTGGTGAAGTCCAAAACCAGAGAAAGCCATCAAGAAGTTTTAAGGAGGGTGCTGGAAAGGTGTCGACTGTACGGATTGAAGATGAATCCAAAGAAGTGTGCGTTCGGGGTTTCATCTGGTAAATTCTTGGGGTTTCAAGTACACTAGCGTGGCATAGACGTGGATCCCGAAAAGACTAGAGCCATTAACTCTCTTGCGCCGCCTAGAAATCCGAAAGAATTAAAAAGCTTTATGAGAATATCGTATATTCAATGTTTCATCCCAGGCCTTGCTGCCACAATGAGTGTTTTTACTCCATTACTCAAGAAAGGCAAGCCATACAAGTGGAGCAAGGAATGCCAAGAAGCCTATCAGCAAGTGCAACAAATAATCACCAAGTTGCCCACCATGAGAGCACCCATTCTGGGACTTCTGCTCAAGCTTTATTTGGCTGCAACAAACACAGTGGTTGGGGCTTTGCTTGCCTAAGACGATCATAGTGGAGACGAGAGTCCCATTTATTGTGTGAGTAGGCAATTAAAGGGAGCTGAAATGAGATACCAAAGACCGAGCTCTTGTGCCTTGCTCTTGTCTATGCTGCACAGCGCTTGCAACACTACTTCATTGCTCACAAGCTACATCTCATAGTGAAGTCTGACCGCGTAAGATATTTGCTCACAAGGCCGGTGTTATCTGGAAGTCTTGCACGTTGGTCGCTACAGCTGTTCGAATTTGATATCACATGCACCACTCCAAAAGCCATCAAAGGACAAGCCGTGATTGACATGTTGGCTGTATTTCCCGAAGTAGAAGAATCAATGCTTTCTAAGGAGGTTCCGGAGGAGCTGTCGGAAATAGTTGCTATTGTTACAAAAGAGGGACCATGGACCGTCTACTTTGATGGGTCTTCTACATCGAAAGGTGGAGGAGCAGGTGCAGTGCTCATTAATCCTGAGGGGCAAGCTACAACCCTCTCATTCAAGCTAAATTTCTCATGCACAAACAATATGGTGTTATATGAGGCTTTCATTATGGGGATGTCTACAGCAAAGGAGATAGGCGTAGAGAAAATTAAAATTATTGGGGACCAAACCTGCTGTTGAGTCAATTGCAAGGGAATTTTGCTGTGAGGGAAGCAACGTTGGCAACGTATCGTACAGCTGCTGAAAGGATTATCAATTCTTTCAAACAAGTTGTGATAGAACATATTTCAGGGGTTACTAATAGGTATGCTGATGCATTGGCTACTTTGGGGTCAAAGCTCTCATTTGTTGAAGAACAACCCAACATTGCCGTGATCAAGAAAGACATGCTAGTGATCGAAGCAATGGCTCAAGAGGATGACTGGAGGAAGTCTGTGAAAGAAAAAATGGGCAAGGGAAGCGATATCAAAGAATTAAAAGATTATGGGATCATCCTTGAGGAGCTGTACAAACGCCTTCCAGGAGGTATTTTGACCCGCTGCATAGGGACAATAGAAGCACGAGTGAAGCTCCAAAAGGTACATGAGGTCACTTACAATTTGGAGCTGATAATCAGTTTGTATCGGCGCTTGCAACACAAGGGTTATTACTGGCCAGAAATGAGGAAACAAGCAGCTGAAATGCAGGCCAATTGTCCCAAGTGTGCAACGATACCCTCCATTGAAGAATCATTCACCATCTCGTTTGCGGAGGATTGGAGGGCTCCATACTTAGCATCCTTCATCAACGGAGTTTTGCCAACCAAACCCAAGCATGCCCGTAAGCTCAAAAAGACAATGAAAAGGTACTTTATGGATGGGTCGACTCTCTACCGCAAAGGATTCAATGGTAAGCCATTAAAATGCTTAGGAGAATTAGAGGCACAGGAAGTTATGCAAGAAATTCATGCTGGAGAATGTGGTAAGCATCAAGGAATGAAGAGGCTTTACCAGCAGCTGCTAAGTGTCTGGTATTATTGGCCTACCATGAAGAACGATGCATACAACTTTGTGAAGAAGTGCCACACATGCCAAGTCCACGCCAATTTAAGTCACAAGCCTCCCACGCTACTGTAGGACATGCGCACTCCTTGGCCTTTCTATACTTGGGGGCTTGATTTGATTAGAACTATCCACCCGCCTTCTGACGGCTATATATGGATCCTCACAGCCACTGAGTATTTCACAAAGTGGGTTGAGGCAGTTCCTCTTCGAAAAGCCACGGGGGCTGCCATTGCAAATTTCATCTGTGAATACATCGTATGCAGGTTCGGAATGCCATACAAGATCGTCACCGACAATGGTACCCCATTTGTTAATAAGCAAGTAACCTCGACGCTTAGTGGCTATGGTATCAAGGAAACCATTGTCGTTCCACGCCGTATTACCCGCAAGGAAATGGCCAAGCCGAGGCCACAAACAAAACTTTGTTGAGGATCTTAAGCAAAATGATGCATCAGTATGAAGGAGGTTGGAGTGTTCACCTGTCGGATGCCTTATGGGCTTACTGTACCTCTCCGAGAAGCGCCATAGGCTTCTCGCCTTATTCGCTCGTTTACAGGTCCAATGCCATCTCACCTATTGAAATTACCATCTCCACCACCAGAGTGTCAGCCGTTAATGATCTTGAATGGGATACAATGTCATGCTCAGGTTGGCGCTTGCTGGATCTTGAAGCCTTGGACGAGAAAAGAGCAGAAGCCGAAAGGAGGACAGCGCTGTACCACAGAACCGTAGCTCAAGCCTATAACAGGATAGTCAAGCCTCGCGCCTTCAAATAAGGAGACCTCGTGCTAAAAGTCGTGGAGCATGTGAGAAGACAAGTGTCGAGACCTTCCAAGTTTGCCCCGCAATGGGAAGGTCCATTTGCAGTCAAAGAAGTCTACAGCAGTGGCTATTATCGCTTGGTCTCTATCAAAGAAGGCACGCTAACGGATCCCATCAACGGGAAGTAGCTTAAGCCTTATTATTGCTAAGTTAATTTTATGTCCAGCACTCTTTATCTTCATATTTCCCTTTGTTTTAAATATGAACTCCTTCAGTCTTTATATTTTGAAAAAACACACTTTTGTATGATGCACCATCATGGTAGCAAGGGCTTTGCAATGAGAATGAAGGATTATTTTGAAAAATAAATAAAATGTGTATGAAATTTTACTACCCCTTTGTGCATTTAAATCTCCTTTAAACAAAAAAAAAACAAAAAAAAGAAACACACGCTACTTATCAATAAAGACATGCCGAGCAAAGTCACTCGGATGGGGTCTCGGACCATCAATAAGCAGCATGCCTAAGCAAAAAAAAAAAATATGAGGCACGCATTCTTGAGTTGCTGGAACAACAAAACCATTGTCCCCTTTTGATAAGCAACCAGAAAATGCAAAACATCTGAGAATGTTACAAAACCTTAGCAAAGACCATGCATATACTAGTCTGACCCTTTTTAGGGCATGACAAAAAGGTGTTTTTTAGGCCCTGTGGTTAGATAAAATTTTGGCAGCATATACCTTGTTTTTTAAGAATATCCAACCTGTCAGAAAATTTCAAACAGTTCACAAAGATGAATTTTGCCAACCAAGCAATATATATACAAGACATGCGAATTACAACATGCCTCGAGCGTTTAGAAATTAATGCAAGTTTCAGTGGTTCAATACCAAAATTACAAAGTCATAAGGTCGTAGTCATTAGAATGTCAAAAGAAAAAAAAAACTACAGTCAAAACAAGATAAAACTAGACGTGCTAAAGATCCATGCATCCTATAGTCTCGAAGGGAACAGAACCATGCGCCAAGCTAATCGGTTAGTAAGCCAAGGAAAGACAACCTGCAAAAGGAAAGAAGGCATGTGTTAAGACTAAGCGATGCTGGAAGAAGCAGCTCGACAAGAAAAAAGAAGGAGAAAAGAGGAATTGTATACCTTGAAGCTACGGAGAATGCTCGAAAAGAACCGAGGAAGCCCTAAAGGATGATCTGGCTACTGCCTCCGTCACACACTCAACATTATCGGCAGAAATACCCTTAGCAAGAAGGAGGGCATGCATCTCCCAACGCTGGCTCTCCAATTCCCGCTGCTTAATGTTCAAAGCATTGATAATAGCTTTTACCTCATCAGAATCATGCGATGATTTCATGCTATGAATGGCCCGTGCTCCAAAGACGACACTTTCTAGGTTCTTCACAAGGTTGAGGAGGTAGTCCACGTGAAAGCCCAGAGTTATGGCCTCACATATTGCATCCTGCCAAAAAGTAGTATGTGATCGGTAATATGAAGGAACTGCATGGTGTCTATCCCATGAAGCACTAAACCAAGGGCTCGGAGGCTGGTACACCTTGAGAAACAAGAGGTGACATCAGTAACTTCCATGAAGCTCGTATATTTGTCCATAAATTTTCTTAAGACCACAACTGTTTCTAGATACACAAGGGCGCCTTGGAATGTCGCATAACCGTTAAACCTGTGGCAAAGCAGAAGAAGCTCGTCAATGGATCTAAGGATGGTGACACCACCATCAAAGAAGGCTTTGAACGCCATGAAGGAATTCACCCAATCTTGCCAAGACATGTTTTTTCTTGGATAAATGCCCCATAAAGGTGGGAGCATCACTGTTCTTATGTCTGGCATCAATAATCTCACCATGAGGTAGCACTACCGAAAGCTGTGAAGAGGTGCCGGCAGCCGTGTTGGGTGTGCCCAGGAAAGGAGAAGTAGGAGGTATCGCTGCCAGAAGCTGCGAAATGGTGCATGCAGCTGTAGCAAGTGTCCCAAAGAGAGGGGAAGGAAGCGTATCCTTCGCCCCTTGTGAGATGCTTTGGACCTAAAAAAGAAAAAGGGGGGGGGGGAAGATGTAAAGGAAAATAAACCAAAGTAAAGGAAGGTACAAGAAAAAGCAAGCAAATTAAAGCGTGGAGGATAAAAATTCAAGCGATAAACACCTTAACGACAGTCTGCACAGTGTCAGTAGCAATAGCAAGAAGGCCAAGGCCAACTCTCGGCGAGCCACTTGATGTGTCCTCAACAGTTTGCATAACCTGTGGAAGAAGAGTGAGGTATGAGTTGCAAGTCACAGCAGGCAGCATGCAATGCATATATGCCAAGTAAAACAAGCAAGAAGGTTATTTGATACCGGTTCAATATCGACATGCCGCTCATGGTCACTAGCAAATTCGGGAGGCATGTTTGAGGCCTCCGGCTCCGTGTCGAGATCTCTAGCAGAGTCCTAACAGGGGTGAAACTTGGTGCCAGATTTTTATAAGTTGTTGGGCTGGGCTTGTATGCACGGTATTGGGTTGTTGGCTTATTGTTTCCAGCGTTTGATAGGTTTTCGTCAAGCAGGTGGAAGTGGCCTTATTATTTTTGGGCATTCTTTTGATGTGGTCTAAGTGTTGTGGCAGGCTACTAGGTGTCTTCCTAAGTGGCTTAAAACTTTCGTTCCTCGAACCCTCAATGGGCCCACTTAAGCTTGTGGCACGGCTTGGTACTAAAATAGTGGTTATTTGCATGGCATTTATTTATCATGCTTGTGCTTGAGTTTTTATCATGCCGTAATAGGCTATAATTGGGCCAAGTAACATTGGATAGGTATATGAGCGTGATTTTGTAAAGTTGATATGTTCTTGGCCCTTTTGCATGTGCTTGCTTGGCTTGACACGTGGCCCGTGGCTTGCATTGATGCGTTCTACAAATTCTCTTTTGTCCCGATCGGGTTCCCCTTGCGTTCAATTATTTGTGTTGGGCCGATAATAGACCCAGGCTTTAGCCCCTTGGATTTTTGGGCCTCAACATTAGCCCCTTTGATTATTGGGGCCATGAGCAGATATTGAGATGGGCCAAATAATCAAACCCGGCCCAAAAGAAAAATCAAATCCATGTTGACGATGTGACCTTCTCGTTTCCCGCGTGTGTGCTGCCATGATTATCTTCCAGTAGTTTTTTATGTTCCCCAGGTACGCTTCCATCAAATCTGCTTTATTATTATTATTATTTTCCTTTCTTTCTCCTTTTCATTATCTAACTTCTTCCTCCTGTGCGTGCTAGCCCAAAATTGGTTGCCCCTTTTCGATTTTTGCTGGTTCCTTCTCACACATAGGTCTGGAAAATGAGAAATCACAGGGAGGCCTCATCCATAACCGCTGGTTGGTTACACTCAAAGAAACCGCTCGCAACAACTGGGAGGAGCCACCGTTTTCCTTCAAAATTCCTTAGATTTCTCCTACTTCTCCTTCAATTTATCACAGACCAAGCTTGGCAAAGCCACTTTGCGAAGCGTGAAGTAATTTTGAAGATAAACTCGCAAGCCAGTTCCTTCTTCTTTTGATTTCGGCAAGCTGCTGGAAAAACGCCACCGAGAGCAGTGGTAAGCATCGTTCCTTTATTTCTTCTCCTATTTCTCCATCTTGTTACCTCAGACACATACATCTATGCATATGCATACACATACACGTACATATGGGGGCACTCTTATATATTATGAGAATTTCTCATGAACAGAGTACCTTCTCAGTCCCCTTTTGCTGTATTCTTGCCTAATTCCTCATGCCCTAAGCTTTGAATTTCGAGCCTGAACCACTGATTAGTGATTTTAAGCACCCCCCCCTCCCCAAGTAATAATTTCTCTTGGTTGAACACAAAAAACCTAGATGGTGTTAAAGTAGAAAAAGCATAAGCATGCACTAGTTCGACTAGCCAATTCATGGCTCCCCGTTCAAATGATTTACTCCTGCAATTTGGTTCTTTTTTCTTTTTTTCTTTTTTTTTTGGCATCGAATGACCTTTTCCCCTTGTCAACTAAAATTGTACCAAAGCATTGATTGGCTTCTCTTGTTAGCATGGCTTTGATATCTTCGTATAGGAGTGCATATAATGCGTGCGTGTGTTTATTAGTATTTTTTATAATGGGATTCTGGATCCCTTAGGTCAGCAGCCGTAAAGGTGCCGAAACTCATGTATTTTGTGCCTTTTCCTCTTTTTTGCAGATACCTATGACTTAGTGGATCTACCATGGCATCTACCGACCTTCCGCCGATCATGCTAGACCACCTCTACTCCATGGATGATAATCTTAAAGTAGGATGGCCACTTTTGTCGCTTGAAGATGCCTGTGAGAATCCTATTATTGGTACTTAGCCACCACCCGAAACTGCTCCTATAATTGAACCTGCCTCTATATCCAAGTGCTGCATAATGAAGGGCATGTTTCTAGTTGTTCCCCTATTCTTTCAGTATCCTTGTAGCATCAGTAAGGGGTTGGTCAGAGTCGGTTGACCGTGAGTTGTTGGATCCCTCCACTTACAAAATTTTGCGCAGGGCACAGGTTCTGGATGCCATATTCCTCTCCAAACTGTGGGATATCCATATTGAAGCAAAGATGCTTCGTCATGTGCTCCAGAGGTGGAGCGCTGCTACCCATACCTTTGTATGTTCATAGGGAGAGTTTACCCCTACCCTTGAGGACGTGGCGAATATCTCTCGCCTTCCAATTTGTGGTGACCGGAGTCCTTTTGACATTGCCCTTGCCCCGGAAGAAATGGACAAGCTTGCAGTTTTACGGAGAGGTGCTCCTATGTCTTCCAGCACCTCGCTTCGGTTCAGTAATTGGATATAATATTTTGGTGATGCAAACAGACAAGGAGGCGGCTCGTGCTTTGTGACTTTTCTCAAGACCACTTGCATGAGCATGTATTCCCCTTGGCCTTGGCCATAGCTCAAGCTGATACGATCCCCTTAGCCCCCATGTTCTTGGGACATTTATACCGGCTGCTTGATCAGACTTAGCTTTTGG